TAGCAGCCAACGAGAAGTGGTCTATGGATAAGCTCGCAAATGCTTACGTGAAGGAAATTGTAAGACTTCACGGTGTCCCTCTTACGATTGTGTCAGATCGTGATAGTCGTTTCACGTCGAGGTTTTGGAGGAGTCTACAAGAGGAGTTGGGTACAAAGTTGTGTTTGAGTACTGCTTACCATCCGCAAACTGATGGTCAGAGTGAAAGAACGATTCAGACGTTGGAAGATATGCTGAGAGCATGTACCCTCGAATTCCAAGGGAATTGGGACGAGCACTTACCTCTGGTAGAATTTTCCTACAACAATAGTTTTCACTCGAGCATCAAGATGGCTCCTTATCAAGCCTTGTATGGGCAGAAGTGTCGTACGCCGTCTTGTTGGCTTGAAGCCGGAGAGAAGCAGTTTATGGGCCCCGAGATAGTCCATGAGACTGCTGAGAAATTGAAGGTGATTAGGGAAAGAATGTTAGCAGCTCAGGATCGTCAGAAGAGCTATGCCGACAAGAAAAGACGACCGATAACCTTCGAAGTTGGGGATTCCGTTTTACTTAAAGTCTCACCGTGGAAGGGACTTATACGATTTGGGAAACGAGGAAAGTTGAGTCCAAGGTTTATTGGACCATTCAAAGTTCTTCAGAGGATTGGGAACCAAGCTTACAAGCTGGAATTGCCCGAAGAACTCAATGGTATTCATAACACCTTCCATGTGTGTTATTTGAGGAAATTCATGGGAGATGTTCCCGACATAATTCCAATCTCGGAATTAAGGATGGATGAGAATAAAAGGCTGATCGAAGAGCCTGAGGCAATTATTGACCGTAAGACTAAGAAGTTACGACGCAAGATGGTCGACTTGGTGCTAGTCCGATGGAAACATTCGAATGGGCCGAATCTCACTTGGGAAACAGAGGATGACATGATGAGTCGCTATCCACATCTGTTTGCTGATGCATGATTCCGGGACGGAATCATCCTAAGGGGGTGAGAATTGTAACGCCCGGGTTTTCAGGGCTAAGCATTTTTGTCAATGTAATAGTCTAGGTCAACTATTGTAACTCTTTTTGAAGTAATAAATATGAAATATTTGAGTATTATGTGAATTATGTGTGTTTATGTGTTTATTATTTAATTATAAATGTATAATTAATAAAGAATAAAAATGAGCGTCAAAATTAAAGTGTGAGATAATCCCGATATCTCTACATAAAGTTGTAGAATATGTCTCAAGGTTTCCGTACATATAAAGAATGCCGAAATCCGAGCTATAAAAGAAGTTATGGCCCGCCGAAGTTTTACGACAAAACCGGCACGACACCGGGAGACGTAAATAGTGAATTTACGATAGAAGACTTTTTAGCCTTAGCAATCTAAACAAAAGTCGTAGAATATGTTAAACTAAGAACATCGATAAAAAGAACGCCCAAATCTGACTTCGTATGAAGAAGTTATGATTTTTCTAAGATTCGGCTTAGCAGTGCACGGCCTGAAACTCGAATTTTAGTTCGAGCGGTTTTTGGCTTACGCAACGTAAATGAGAGTTGAAGATCTCATTAATAGGAAATCAACGGTAAAAAGACAGACAAAAACAGAGTCCGTATGTAGAAGTTATTAATTTTACGCAGACGTTTAACAGTATAATCTCCTTGTACTGTTAAATTTAAGATCGGTCGAGAATTAGCTGACGGTGTCAAAATGAAAGTTGTAGATCTTATTATTACCTACGCGTGGATATAAAGAACGTCAAAAACGGAGGTCGTATGTGAAAGTTACGGATTTTAGAAGTCGGAAGTGTGCTGTGCGAAAATGGGTGATGTGGCACAATCTTGGCCATTGCTTTCTCCCCAAGGCTTGCCACCAGATGGTGACATGTGGCACCAAGTTCAGCCACATTTCACCCTATAAATACCACCTCTCCCACCCTCATTTTCTTCACACCTTTCCCATTCTTTCTTCTCTTTACTCTCTCTCTCTCTCTCTAGAACCTCTCTCTAGCCCCGAAATCCCCCGAAAAGCCTAGGGAACCTCCCTAGCACGAGGCGGAAGCCCCGGAGTGCTCGAAGGCTCTGAGAAGAAGAGCTTTTCGGCTCGGGAACGCTGCTCCAAGCAAAGCCCGGTTTTCTATAAAACCCGCTGTAAGTGAGCTACGCCTACGCTATTTTTAATATAACTTTTATTTAATTATAGTAACGTTATTAGGAACTTATAATAAATACTTGGGCTATTATTATGGGTTATATAAGTATTTTTTTGACGCTTATATAATAATAATAATAGCTAGACTATTAATTAGTCTCGACGAATAATAAACTAAACTCTAGTGGTAATAATACTAGGTTTCGTCGAAGAAAAATTCTTTTTAAGAAGCGAAGCGCTGTCTGAGTTCGGAATCACCACCTTTTCCGGTGAGTGCATAGTTACCTTCAACTTACACATAGATATGAAGTATTTTATATAAATTACGTGCTATGTGTGCATATTATCTGAATACTTGCTATCTATGCTAGATGAACGTTGTTATACATGTTTTCAATGATTTAAACTGTATATGTATTTTATATCTACGAAAATGTTGGGGTAAAACATGGGTAGATGTAATAGGTGATGTGTGATAAAATGATGAGAGGCCTCGATGTTGTTGTTGTTGATCCAGTCATCTAGCGGAGTATAGATGACGACCACGGACTCTTCTAGACAGTCCAGTGGAACACTAGCAGGTCGCAACCTGTAGGTGTTGTGAACGATGTGTTCACCGGTGTACTCCATCCCCCACATGGTTGCCTATTAGGACATTTATTGCTGAGGAATCCCCTTAGCAGTAGTGTCCGTCCCGATGATGATCCTTAGGCTAGGTCCCTTATGATAGGTGTTTAGGGACGTAAAGTGAGGATAACGGGAACGGGTAATCGGGTTATTGTTGATTGATGAAATTAATAAACTTATTTATTGTGGGTTGAAAACCCTATGTGCTCACCAGGCTCCCAAGCCTGACCCACTCAGTTTTATGCATTACAGGTAGTGGCGCATGAGCATAGGTGTGATGTTTTGGACGAGGGATTACGGATATAGGCCTGTAGATATGAAATAATGTAGTAAGGCTTATATTGTACTGTTTATACTTTTGATCTGTACGAACATGACATCCCGAGTCTTTTAATGAAATACATTTCTATGGAAATGCTTTTGATAAATCTTTATCATATTATTGTTTTGGGACAAATTCCGCAACCCTTTTATTAAAAGATAACTCTGATTTTGAAATAAAGTATAAACAAAACCGGTCTTTTCTGGCCGTGATTTTGGGGATGTCACAGATGGCTTATCGAGGTAATTATGCAGAGTAACAACACTTAGATGGAAAGAGATGAGCACCAAACCCGGCACCCTTAAGCTTCTATTTATAGGGGCATATTTTGTGTGCCACGTCGTGGTGAGTCATCTTATCCTCTTCCATTGATTGGACGACCTCAGTCACTTGTCGGGTCACGGCCAACTGTGCCATGTCGCGACCAACCTGACAGCCTCGGATTTCGGGTCTTGAACTTGTAAAATCTGTAACTTTCGCGTATTAGCTCCATTTTCGATGTTCTTTATATGCACGCGTAGGTGAGAGTATACTCTACAACTCTCTTTTAAACTTCGTCAGCTAATTTTGATTTTATTTTTAATTAATTATTTTTAACATGCCAGGACTTGAAAAGCCCGTTAAAAATCTATAACTTCTTCATCCGGCGTCCGTTTTTGCCAGACGTTTTACCGTTGCGCTACTTTCGTTGAGACCTTAGATTCTCATTTAGGTTGTTTCGGGCAAAAGTCTCTCGATCTCTATTTCGAGTTTTTAGCTGTCTACTGCTATATCTGGATCTTGGAAAAATCATAACTTCCTCATACGAAGTCAGATTTGGACGTTCTTTTTACGTACGTTTACGGTTTAATGATATCTACAACTTTCTATTGGATACTTAAGGTTAAAAACTGTTGTATTGAAACTTCATGTTTTCCGTTTAATCGATGTTGCCGGTTTTGTCGGAAATCTTAAAATGGTCGTTACTTCTTCGTTATAACTCGAATTTTAGTGTTCTTAGTATTTCTGTAAACCTTGACACAATATATAGCATATTAGGTAACCCAATAGAGACTTTTGTACATTTTATTTTCGAAGTTAATTTCATTATTTCAAAAGTGGTTATAATACTTGACTTTTTAGGTCATTACATAGAGTCGAAATATCGGGTTGTCACATCATCCACTCGTTGTATTCTTCTTCTCTCATTTAATTTCAGTATTACAACCTCAAACAGAAGTCCTTATTTCTTGGACGGCAAATCGTCGATCGTCAAACCAGAAAAATCAGAAACATCGCTCAAAAACACAAGAGGATTAGAACGAAGACCAATTGAACAAAAAACATAAGAAAATCGAAACAACCAACCACATACCGAAATTCCTTAGACAACAGACAGCATGGTACAGAAGGCGTTTGGTGGCGGCAATAGAGTGCATAAGGTTTTTAGTGAGATAAATCGAATTCCTATATTCTTGGTTGAAGTCGCCAGGAGGATCAAACGAAGGCAGTCGGAGACGAATGAAGAAGAAAGAAAGATAGTTTGAGACGAATGAAGAAGAAAGGGTTAGAGGAATGCACAAAACTGATGTCGGGGTTTTTGTGGATTACCATATTAAGATGTTCAAAATTTAGAAGGACAAAACAGTAATTATGTCCAAAGTGATGTGGTGAAAGTTTGAAACGTTGGAATTTTACTATTCTAAGACATGTTGGGTTTTAATATATATATATATATATATATATATATATATATATATATATATATATTATTTGAAATAATCGATTGATAATTTTGAGTTTTCATTATAATAGTTTAATTAATTTTGTAACCGTAGTTTCCACGGGTTATAACCTAATATAATAATAAAATCAATATTTTAAATAGTTGATTAAAACCATATAGTGATAGATCCATGATCTTTTTACGCCCGTTCGGACCTTTTCATCCCCAAATCGAAACGGGCATGGTCATGGGCATGGGAAGTTTCTGGATTCGCGGGAACCCATCCTTACGATCCGATTGCCATCAAATCCCAAAATCTTAGCAGGGAAGAAACAGAAAATTACTGGATTGACTTTTGGGGTAAACATCGCCATCAAAACTCAAAACCCTCAATTATTGTGAAAAACTGTAAATACATCTCACTTTCATGTAAGGAACTTTTCAAACCCTAATTCACTTCAAATAACCATCAAAATTTGTTCAAATCCCCTTTATCGTTTTCAAGAACTTCCAAGAAGCATCCACGAAACTTAACTCGTTGGATTTTGTAACAAGAAGGCTTGATCCTAGTTGATTCGAGTTAGCCATGCTGCATTTCAAAGATCCTTCAAAGCTCAGAACCAAAAAGGTAATCTTCGTACATGCAACACTGTGATTATAAGTTCTCGCTAGGAAATTAGAACAAACATCGTTAGTTTTTGCCCAATTATAGATTGTTTGGCGTATGGATTCTCTATAATTATATCCATGTATAAATTGGTGCGAGTTGTGTGCATAATTGGTGTAGTTTCTGAACTTATGGTATTGATGTAAGACATAAACAATCGATTTAGTGATGAATTATTGAATATAAACTTAATCTCGACTTCAACAGATTGTTTTTGAAGATGTATACTGTGCTCAAGATTCAGGCACTCTTGAACAACTGAAAGAGTTAAGCTCCAAGCGTGTGAATGTTGAATCCATCAATGAAAACAACTCCATTACAAATGCCATTGCCAGGGAAATGTCAGGGGGATTAACTTCTCAGTATGAACAGGTTGATATATTTACCCAATCAATCGTTCTCTTACCTTACCCAATGTATCTTATTTTTGAATGGTGATAATTTTGTTCTTACATTCCAGGACATTCAAAAGCTAGAACTTTATGTGCCATTATTGGAGAACTTGATTCAACATGTTAAAGTAATTGGTGATCATACAAAAGTGATTCGTTGGACATCAGATCTTAAGATAAGGTGGACAAGTCCTCTTAGTTCTTCATCTTTCTTCAACCTCATGGGTCCAAGATTCTTTCAGATTGATAAGCTGCAGTTTGAGCTTGGAATGGTTTTGTTCTTTTATGGTGCAATGCTTCGTGAATGGGCTTCCCATGTTTTAAAAACAGGTAGAACTTAATCCTTTTATTGAATTCTTTATATAGTTATTGATGATTCTTTTGTTTTACATCTTATTTTTATCATAGATTTAGTGCAATCCACAACCCTGTTCAGAAAAGCTGCAGGGGTTTATCATTATTTGGCTCATGAAATTCTTCCATCTTTACAACCAGCACTTACACCCGAAGCACCACCAGAAGCTTCTTCATCTGTTTCTTCAATTATGAGCTTCATCTGCTTAGCAGAGGCTCAGGTTAGGGTTCACGTTTCATCTCTTATTTCCTTTTAGTTGTTTCAAGAAACATATTCATTATTTCCTTGAAAAAAAATTGCACAGATAGTAACTATAATGAAGGCTGAGGAGAAACAAATAGCTGTTGGACTTTTGGCAAAGCTACACTTTGGTGTAGTACAGTTGTTTGATGAAGCCAAAAACTGTTTCTTGAAATCAGTCAAAGAATGCAAAGATTTGTCACCAAGTTTGATGGTATGCATGAGTTTTTGATTATTTTGATTATTACTATTATAAAACAGAATAAAATACAGAAATAAATAAAAGTAGGTTGATATTTGATGTATTATGCAGGAGTACATAACATGTAGTAAAGTGGTGCATGAGTTGAGAAGTTACAAATACATGGCAGAGAGTCTGAAAGGGGAAGGGGAAATAGGGAGTGCAATTGGGGTGCTTAAAAGGGTGTTGGAATGGAATAGCAATGTTGATGGAGGAATGGAATCGTGGAAGGTGGTTATAAAGGAAGAGATTGAGTGTGTGAGGGAATTGGTGAGAAAATATACACATGAGAATGAGTTTGTGTGGCATGAAAAAATTCCTTATGAGGATGATTTGCCATTGGTGCATGGGAGAAAGATTGCAACTTGCATAGATTATCATCCTCAAAGATGGGAAAGAAATCTTGCACTCAAGATTTAATACACCATAATTTCTATTGAGCTATCAACAATTGTTGGCTCTTTAAAAAAAAAAAAAAAAAAAAAAAATTAAAGAAAAAGTTAACAAACAGTATATAGATATCTTTGTTTGAGGACATATAGGATTGCCCTTTTTGAATGGTATATATAAGTATATAACATGTCTTTGGACTTTGGAGATGCTTAGGGTTTAAGGGAATTGATTGATCTTGGTGTTTGATAAACTTGTTTGTTTGTTTGTTTTTTATATTGTTGTACTAGAAATTTGAAAATAAATAGAAGTTTTTGGTCTACCGAAATAAAATAAAACATGTAAGTCGTTCAAAAAATTCAAAATATGATAATGAACTTGAAATAAAATATAAAAAAACGAGTAAACATATAAATTCATGGTAAATAATGGGTTTTGTACTTTTGTTACATCAAATTTTCTCATGATCTACGATAAGAATAATTTGAGCCGCACAATTGGATGGGTAGAACTCATGAAGAAATTGGCGCCCGATTTCGAGTGGTGGATCTCAACGATCCACATCTACCCATCAACAAAAAGGCTACGACTTTTGAAAACCCTTGTAAAATCTAACAAGATCATACACAAATTCCCCAATTTTTATTCAGCACCCAATTATTCTTCTTCAAGATTATGATGGCTGTTCAATGTAATCCACTACCCCAATTGCTCCACACATTAAACAAAACAGTAAGGCAACACTTCACACCATTAATTTCGAACACCCGTCTCTTCTCGACTCGAAAAAATCCAGCGTTCATCACATCCTACACCCCGAAGCTCTCAAACAGCAGGTGTGTCCCAAATCCCAATTCTGAATTACATGAATTTTGTAACTACTTTTTGAATGTTTTGTCAGCTACTGGTTTACGTCATACGTATTATTGCCAATTGGGAAAGTGTTTATTATAATTTATAGCATGATATTGTGCTAAAATTGACCTTAGAAGTCAAAATTCTAAGTTCGTCTCTTTGTTTTGGGGATAGAGGGAGTAACAGCGTTGTTTCCGCTTTAATTTCCGAAGAGAAAGTTGCTGAATCGAGTTTTTCCGGCATTGATGCATTCCAGCTAACTTACTTGGAGGTGCGCTTTTATAATTCTCTGATTCTCACATAATGTTTGAAATTGTAGTCGTATTTGTGTTCTTTAATTAGCACAATGCTGGATGTTTTTGATTTAGGGCAATAGCTGGTTATGGGAGGTGGGTGGAGTGAAGATTCTAGTTGATCCAATATTGGTGGGTAATTTGGATTTCGGAATACCTTTTCTTTATGATGCTAGCAAGAAATATTTGAAGAATTTCAAGGTACATTCGTTGTAGCCTTAAGGGAAACCTACAAGTTTGAATCTTGCTACACATGTTCTAATAAATTGTAGCTTTATTTCAGCTTACAGATCTTCCTGAAATCGATTGCATATTAATTACACAAAGCCTTGATGATCATTGCCATTTGAAGACATTAATTCCACTCTCTCAAAAATTACCAAATCTTAAAGTAATCGCCACTCCAAATGCAAAAACACTCTTGGATCCTCTTTTCACCAATGTAAGTTACATAATTTCTTCTCAAAGCATCACGTTTTATATAATTCTAATAATTTATTACAAATATTATTTTATAAATTTCAGGTCATATACTTAGAACCCGGCCAAGATTCTAAAATTGAAACAAAAAACGGTTCTCATGTTAAAATACGGGCTACTGCGGGGCCGGTTCTCGGTCCTCCTTGGCAACGCCCCGAAAATGGGTACATATTTTTTTTTTTTTTTTTTTTTTAAATGAGTGAATCATTTATTGTTAATCTCTATATAATATATGGTATTATAGGTACATTGTGACTTCTCCACAAGGGCAGTTGAGTCTTTACTATGAACCACATTGTGTCTATGACAAGGAGATTATTGGAAAGGAGAAGGCGGATATCGTCATTACACCCGTCATCAAGCAACTTTTACCGAGTTTTACTTTGGTTTCCGGACAAGAAGACGCTGTTTGTCTTGCGAAATTGCTTCATTCCAAGTAATCTTGATCTTGTCTTTTGAACTGACAGGACAGGATATGACAGACTGTGCAACGTTTGGCGTGTATTGAACTGTGACTGATGGGACAAAAGTGGCAATTTTTTATCCAAGCCAAAAGATGCAAAAGACATAAATGCCCTTGATGTCCAGTCCCGTGGAAAATTAATATTGAATTTTTATGATTGTTTTTTTATTTATTTACAGATTTGTGGTGCCAATGAAAAATGGAGATCTTGATAGTAAAGGTGTTCTTGCAAATCTAGTTAGCTCGGAGGGAACTATAGAATCATTCAAGGTATTTATTGATAGTTCTTGAATTTTACAACTTATTATAATTAGTTAATATACATATGATATTGCATACAAGTGAAAATTAAATCTGGTTAATTTTTTTTTTAAATACAATTACAGGGTCTTTTATTAAAGGAATTACCGGATGTAAAGGTACTAGAGCCTGTGCCTGGTGTACCCCTTAATATATCAGCATCTTAATCTTTTTCATAATTGGTTTTGTAAATAGATTTTATTCGTTAATCAATTATATCAAGTGCACAAACTATATTTTGTATAGATGTAAACTTTAATGTATGTATTGCTGAAAATTAGGGTTCTAAGACAGAATATTTGAACCACAAAATAAGTTTCGATCACATCTATCCCATAATAATTTGATTTTGGAATGTTATGGTGTGGTTTGGTTTTGTTTCAAGATGATTCTCGAAAGCATATTGGTTTGATTTGATTAAGCAAAATTGAAAACGAATATATATGGCTTGGCTATGTGGTTCAAATTGAAAACCACAGCAGACTCAATTGTTGGTTTATTGGGATTTTGAATTGAAATTTATTTCAATTAGTTAGGCCAAACAGAGTGTAGCGGGAAAGCTGTGCTGGAAATGAACCCGCACCTCGGAACACAACACTGAGGTTGCGAGGACGGTTGAGGGGAAGATTTCCCACGTTCTCTCTCCTATTCTCATTGGCTGAAATATATATATATATATATATATATATATATATATATATATATATATATATATATATATATATATATATATAGGGTTGATCCCGAGAATTTGGAGGAAATGTGCAATTTAGTTAAAAAGGGTCTTAAATCTTGAAAATTAAAAATAATAATAATAAAGATAAAATTTCATTCCAAGTGCTAAAAAAAAAAAAAAAAAAAAAAAAACCCTCATTTCTTCTTATAAATTTTGAGATCATTACCAAGAATCGAATTGTTTCCCACCATCAATTGCTTTATCTTTAAGTGTACAACTGAAAACGAGGCAGTATCAAAGTTGAAAGATGGGCCATGTTAATGAGCACCTTCTGAACTTGTCTTGGGCTGGCTCTGTTAATGCCGAACCAACCCAACTTTATTTTTATACCATTTCTAAATATTCTCTAAAAAAAACCATTAAAACACAACGTCATCATCTTGGTCCTCTGATTAGGCGATTCAAGAAGTGACATTATTTTTTAAGGGATAATAACTTGAAAGGGTAACGAACTTTAGATTTTGTTGACATTTAGTCACAATTTTTTTTTTCGTTATCTATTTGTTACTGAACTATTGAAACTGTTCACATTTTACCTTATGTTTTGGTGAAAGTGAAAGATAATAATTTCATGTGTTTTGGTGAGAGAAAAAAAGAGAGAGAAAAGCTAATGTGACACTCAAAAAATGAAAGTTGCTTTCTATACACACTCTTGGGTCTTAGTTTGTTGATTTGGATATTAGCTGAAAATACATATTTGACAAAAACAAACTGATAAGTTAAGTATGAATATGTAAAATAATGATTATGTTTGATAAAAAAAATTAAGCCGTAAGTTAAGTAGGAATATGTAAAATGATCTTAGAAAACATGTATAAGATTGAGTTTTCTTTTTAATTTTTTTAATTTTATTATTATTATATAATTATTAAATGGTATATTTGAAAGAACTAAAAAAAAAATCTAAAACCTGAAATTAAAATAGATATGATGTGACAAACATAACTTAAAAGAACGAAGAGATTAATTTGGTAGTAATGTATAGATCAATTGTGTTAATTAGGTTAAATTATGTTCATTATAATTTAATTTTTAAAATAGTTCTAAAAAGTTTTGTAAACAGTCAATTATTTTTGATATATTTATTTTTTTAAATTAATTGCAAAATAAAGCAAATGCTTACAAATAAAAGTAAGAAAGAGCAATTTTGTCATTTAAGATGTGTATGTATCCCAAATCCTTTACAAATAAATCAAATTTTCATGAAAATGATGGGTTGAATTTAATTTCAAACCTCCAAATTTGAAATCCTTTTGACAAACACCAAACCAGAAGACCAAAACACCCCCAAATGACTTTTCTTAGTTTATACATTTGGACATCATGGAAAATTGTATCGTGTGAAAAGAATTATACCTGTAGATATTATTAACAATTTAAATATGATTCAATTTATTAAGCAAATCTAGACCATTTACATGGAAGAATACCCAATAAAACCTTATTTGAAAATGAAATCATAACGAATCATTCTTTAGTTTAATTTTTTTATGGTTTTTTTTTTTTTTTTTTTTTTTTTTTTAAATTTCATTTAGTAAAACTGAAAATATGAAATTTAGTGGTATCATTAACCAAAACCTTTTTAACTGAGACTAGAAGAACATTCACTCGTTTCCGAATGGCTATTTCAAATTTTCATCTAGGTGGAACAAATTTCTCCTAAGAAAAGTAAATATATTTTTATTGCCGTTGCAAGTTAAATAGTATATTTACTCGTATTAATACTTGAATGTGAAAGATGTTTCATTTAGGTAAAGGAAATATATTAATTGATAGGTTGAAAATGATAACAAATCATTGATACGAGAGTAAATTAAATGGATCCTCCTTATGGTTTGGGTAATTTGTACGTTTGGTTTTTAACTTATTTTTTTAACACAAAATGTCCTTATAGTTTGTTTTTGTTACACGCTTGGTTCCTATCTTACCTAAAATGACTATTTTGCCATTAATTTTTTAATTTATTTAAATAAGATGGGATATGTAAGGTAATATAATGTGAGATGGAAGTGGGTTGAGGTGTGTTTATTTAAATAAATTAAATAATCAAGGGCAAAATAGTATTTTCAGGTAAGTCAATGACAAACGCGCAACAAAAACAAGCACTACCACACAAGGGACCTTCTGAATTAAGAAAATAAATTAGGGACTGAACGTATAAATTACCTCAAACTATAAGGACCATTCATGTAATTTACTCTTGATATAATTGATTGGTTTTTCCCGAATAGGAAACTCAGTGTTAGTCATTGTGTGGTAAGAAAATGATAACAAATCTTAAATTTTATTTTCTATATGAAAATCCAAAATACTTTTCGACGTTATTACGATATGTTGTCTTCTTATTATCATTCAATATCTTATGCTAATATATAGGTCACGTACTATTCATGATCACAAAGAATATCGTTGAATTTTAGTGTTATATTATATTATATGACTATTATATATTGTGTAAAATACTGTGTGATTTCGGAATATTTTTTTCTCTGATAAATTGAATGCACGTTTTTGTTGTAGGGAGAAAGAGACAAATGACCTTTCATTCACCCAAGGGACGTATTCATTGTTCCAAAACATTTCGAATACTACCTTCTTTTCTATTACTATAAGTTAAACATTTTTTTAAGAATATATAAAAATAAATGTTATATTATGCATATAAATAATATAAATACGATGACTTATATATTCTATTAATTTGGTCGAAGACCACTTATGGTATAAAAAATATAAAATTATAACAAAAACATTATTTTGTATATAATAAAGAATATCAAATATAATAATAAAGAATATCAAACTCTCAGATTCGAAGATAATTTTTTACGAAGCAAACGTCAAGTCATATTGATTGTATCTCTATTTTCCTTTTATAGGTGATATTATCTTATCCATATCCATGATCCATGTCAATCTCTTGGGAATTTACTTTCATGCTTCTCTTTAAATTCATATATATATATATATATATATATATATATATATATATATATATATATATATATATATATATATATATATATATATATATATATATATATATATATATATATATATATATGGGTAAACTGAATATACCTAACAACCTTATATAAGCTTAGGTACCTAACTTCATCAAACTACGTCATTTTGCATTAAATGTTCATTGCAATCATCCAAAGTTCTTAAACTTCATCCCTAAACTTAATTTACTTCAAAAAAAAATTGGAAATTCATCATTATATTTCTCCTACATCCTTTCATTTGTATCGGTAGGATATGAAGCCCATCAGGTGGTATTCGATAGAAAGACGTGATATAAAGGAAAGATATTGGTGAAAGTCCAAAGATTTTGGAAGTAATCAAGTTATGGGGTTGAAGTTGAAGAACCTTATACAATTATAATGTAAATATGATACAAACCGATGTAGTATTATGGAGTTAGCTACCTAAGCTTATATAAGGTTGTTAGGTATATTCACTTTACCACATATATATATATATATATATATATATATATATATATATATATATATATAAGGAATGATTATTTGAAATAATTATAAAATGCATAAAAAATTATTTGAAAAAACTCTAAGAATCATAAAATGCATAAAAAATAATTAGAGATTACAAAACCTTTTTTTGAATTTTTTTATAAAAAAATCGCAGGTTTTTTAAAAAATTCATTGAAAAAAAATCAATTTAAAAAAAAAAATAAAAAAAAATCAGCGAATTTATTTAAAAACATGCGATTTTTTCATAAAAAAATTCAAAAAAAAAGTTTTGTGATCTCTAAGTATTTTTTTATGTATTTTTATGATTTTTTGTTTTCCATAGAACCTCTATATATATATATATATATATATATATATATATATATATATATATATATATATATATATATATATATATATATATATATATATATATATAGTCTTTTTCTTACTTTAGATACAAACATTATATTACATGTGGATATATCACATCCGTATACATATATAATGGCAAATTGCAAGAAAATCATTGTATTACAATAAAATTTTGATTTTGACTTCATCAAATTATTATTTTTTTCAATTATGTCATTATATTTATAATTTTATTACAATATCAATAAAATAACTGTTTCTCCTTTTTCTCCCGTAACCATTTTTCCGAATTGCAATAAAGCTATTAAGTTTGCTAAAATTTTGATTCTGACATCAAGGTTCAAATTGCCAAAAATCATTGTATTACCAAAAATTTTGATTTGGACAATGGGTTTTTTTTTTCTCATTTATGTCATTTCATTTACAATTTAGTTGCAATGTCAACCAATTGACTGATTCAATAGATGTTATTGTAGTTTAGAAGCTCGGTTTAGAAGCTCAAATTGTACAATAAATAAATAAAGGTTTATTTTATGGTTCAAACTCACTTAAAGTTAGCAATAATTGCATAGTCACCCTTTCAGTTGATACTATTGTGGTTTAGAAGCTCGATTTGTACAACAAGTAAATGAAAACACCTACAAGGTCGATTCGTACAAAAAATAAATGAATACTCATACAAGGTCGATTTATTTGTACAACAAATAAATGAAGAGCCTTATAAATAAAGATCCCTATAAACTTGTTTCTAAACCAATTGACTGG